ACGATCATTGATTTCAGTTTCAGAAACCCCAAATATGCATTCTTTAACCTCATCAACAAATGTGCTGAGAAAAACAAACAAATAGTTATTAATACTGACAACTTTAATAAAGATATTATTAATTAAATTAAAAGGTACCTTTCATACGATGACAACTCTTCACAATTTAACAGGATATACGTATGTGCACTGTGATAATCTTTTTCATTGGACCACCAAACATCTTTTAGTTTTCCACTAAGACGTCCGATCGGCGAGAATATGTCAGGTACACCTTCAACGGCATATGTATGGCCAACTCCTCCATCATCATATCGACGAGTAGCTCTTTTGCGTGTTCGTACTTTCGGTGAAAAATAGTATGAAGTGAAGTGTGAAGTCTCTTGCGTCAAGCTTCCCGCCACAATTGAGCCTTCCAATTTAGCTAGGTTTTTGGCTTTACCTTTAAGATGCTTCATGAAACGCTCGAACGGATACATCCACCTGTACTGAATGGGTCCACCGAGCTCTGCTTCGTGTGGGAAATGAACAGGAAGATGTTCCATAACATCAAAAAATGATGGTGGGAAGATCTTTTCCAAATTGCACAACAAGATTGGAATATTCAATGCCAGTTGTGATATTACATCAACTGATAATGTTTGTGTACTAAGATCCCGAAAAAAAGCACCAATGCCTCCAATAGCTTCATGGACGTTTTTGGGCAAGAGTTCAGCAAATGCAAATGGAAATAATCGTTGCATAAACACATGGCAGTCATGGCTTTTCATCCCAGCAAACTTTACCCCCTTCTCAACAGATTTGGAAAGATTAGAGACATACCCATCAGGAAATTTAACGTCAGAAGAAACCCATCTGAACAATGCTGACTTTTGATCTGCACTCAACCGAAATACAGGAACTGGTGCTTTCCCATTTCTCAGTAGATGCAACTCACTTCTGTTGCATAAATCAGGCAAGTCCAATCTTGACTTACCATTTTCTTTTGTTCTTCCCGCTACGTTCATAACTGTATGCATGATGTTATCAAAAAAAATTTTTTCAATGTGCATGACATCAAGATTGTATCTGAGCAGATGATCTTTCCAATAAGGTAGTTGCCAAAAGATACTTTTCTTGTGCCAATTATGATGAACTCCATAACCTTCAGGCATATTTGCAGGAGTGTGCCAGTTTCCCCCACGAGTTACTGTTTCTTCTGCCCTCCAATGATCGATTTGCGCCTGTATATCAGCTCCTGTTAAATTAACGGGTGGAGGACATGTACACTTTTGTTCTTCATAAATAACCTTTTGTTCCTCCGATATGGATGGTTATCCGGTAAAAACCTCCGGTGACAATCAAACCAACAAGTTTTTCTACCATGTTTTAGCTGAAACGCATCAGTTCGATGAAGAAAATAAGGACAAGATAGCCTCCCATGTGTAGTCCATCCTGATAGCATACCATAAGCGGGGAAATCGCTTATTGTCCACATTAGCACAGCCCGCATAGTAATTTTTTTCCTCGTAGAACAGTCATATGTACGAACGCCAGTATACCATAACTGATTCAACTCATGTATGAGTGGCTGAAGAAATACATCGAGAGCTCGCTTCAGATGATTTGGACCTGGAACCAAAATACTTAGGAAAAGAAATTCTCTTTGCATGCACAAATCTGGAGGAAGGTTATAAGGAGTTAGGATTACTGGCCATAATGAATATTGTCTACCAGACATACCAAATGGACTAAAACCATCAGTGCACAGACCAAGATAGACATTCCGTTTGAACTTAGCAAAATCTGGGTATACCATATTGAAGTGTTTCCATGCCTTTGCATCTGATGGATGAACAACTTCTCCATCTACTGGTGTATGTTCCGCATGCCATCTCATTGATGCAGCTGTCCTTTCAGATTGATAAAGTTGTTTTAACCTATCAGTTATAGGGAGATACCACATACGTTGGTACGGTATCCTTTTACGCCCACCAGATTGCGGCCTGTATCTTGGTTTTTGGCAAAATCGACATTCCTCCAGCTGATCATCATCTTTCCAAAAAATCATACAATTGTCAACACATACATCTATCATCTCAGAAGGTAGACCAAGACTAAAAATCAACTTCTGAATTTTATAGTATGTTCCCGCTGCCAAGTTATCCTCCGGTAGATACTCCTTCAGAAGATCAGCCCAATAATCCATGCAAACCTCAACCAGGTTATGATCTGTTTTAATTGACATCATCCTAGCTGCCAACGATAATTTAGACAAGCCTTCTCTACATCCTTCGTAGATTGGCTGATTAGCATTGTCTAACAAATCATAAAATCGTTTGGCATCTACATTAGATTCCTCAACAGCATTACCCGTATGCGTTTCATGAAATGCATCAGTCACCATTTCGTGCATCCTATCATGATCTACACTTTGGTCATATTGATACTGATTAGGCTGATGACCAAAATTCGATTCATCAATATCAACATGATTTTGATAATTACTACTACTACCAGCATTTCCAGTATTACTGCCATATCCTTCTCCATGTAGATACCAAACAAAATATTGCGGCATAAACCCTCTATTTAATAAATGCGTCTACACGGTTTTGGTTAGTGTATACCTCGTATTCTTGCATTTCAAACAAGGACAAAACATCTTCCCACTATCTTTCGTTCTCTCCATATTTGTAGTCTGATACATAAATATTTCTAACCCGTTCTTGAACTCTTCTGTCAACGCCCCATCTGAATCTTTACGCATATACATCCAACTTCTTAGCTCGTATATAGACATCTTGAAAATAAACTCACAATACTATCACTTTTTATTGATTAGACAATAAAGGAGGTGGTCTCTTGTGTCACGTCTAGCCACGTGAATGGAGTAAATTAACCTTATAATATTATTACTTCTTTTTTTCAAAGTAATATAACTCTTAATTCGGGTTTCCGGCAATGGACAACCCAATATATAAGGATTTACAACACTATACTAAAATTTAAGAGACCTACAATGGGTCTCCAAGATGAAGATGCTCTTATGTTTGAATGATGATGTGTTGTGATTGAATGAAGGAATGAAGATCTATTTATAGGAAAATTTCGGGCTTTACAACGCTTTTACGACGACTTTTTACGACGGTTTTACATTCAACAATAATATTACGACGAGTTTACGACGATTTTGCGATAAAATTTTTCATCTACAATTGTTAGGTACACATGTTTTAAATGTTTTTCACCTAACTTCTTTTTCGACGTAAAATCGTCGTAATATGTACATCGAAATGAAGTCGTCGTATATTCGTCGTAATTTTGCGACGAATTTACGACGATTTTACATTTACTAGCAAATCTCTCGTTATCGATGTATAATCGTCGTAATTCGTCGTAAATTGTACGTCGAGTTTACAACGATTTTTGAATACGATGGTTTTATGACGGTTTTTAAATTAGACGTAAGATCGTCGTAAAATCGTTGTAAGTTTGCGACGATTTGAAAACCGTCGTAATGGACGTTGGAAAATGATTGTTTTCTTGTAGTGTGATAACGGGTGAACCAATCAAGACCTTAGTTTTCAAATTTTAATTTGGTAAACACGTTTTCATCTACTCGACTACTACGTGTTGGTCTTTTTATTCTATGCAGCATATGTATATCATCTGATAGTCAATGGTCTTGTTTCGACATGTAAAGAGTTCACAATTCGTAGAAACAGTAACAACTCGAACTAAAAAAGAACTTTTGAGTTCTCAATTTTACTGATCACTTATGATCCCAATTCTCAATTATGGCCAACAGAAACCATGTTCCTTACAAAGTCGGTTTTTTTTTTTGGGATCACCGTTTAGTTCGGTTTGATAGTTATGATTTTGATTTTTCTTAACCGAACTAATCACCCTAGATTAGGGTTCTTCAATAAGCTGCACACTGTACCGATACTCGCATAGTTGATTAAGTTTTTTTTTTTTTAACTCTCATAGTTGATTAAGTTACTCCATTGAATGGATAACTTATTCAATCCTTTTCCTTTCTTTTTGATATTATTTATTTCTATGAACTAAAATCGGTTACAAAAAAAGGAAGATATTTTTATGAATTTGTAAAATTTTTTCGAAAAGATAATGTATAGTTTTTAATTTTCCAACCAGTTTACAGAATAATGAAACTCAAGCGTGCGGATTTTTCCTGAATTAGGATGGTAAAAGACAAGCACAAGTAGATCATCAAGATACAACCATTTCCTCGCGTCATGTCCCACTATCTTCATCTTATTATATTTCCTTTGAATTCTTTTAATATATAATTCGCAATTGCATGAATATTTTAATTTTCAGTAAAAATAATCTTGTGGACCGCTCCGGATTCATGACTTAACTTTATGGACTATGTAAATGTAAGTATGTAACACATTTGTGGTTCTAAAATGTTTTTAATGTTTTGGTTTAATTTCTTGTTTATATTCGTTAAAGAGCGTCTCTAGTTCGACACGCGCATATGGAGATCGTGTACATCACGTACCCCATCTAAAACGAGAAAACTATGGGAAGGGCGCGTGAGATTCGTATTAATAACATTTTGTGTCATATACATGTGGAAGTCATATGCTTCTGTCAGCTGCTGACGCGGACTTAGTGGGCCCCTTTCGTTGTTGCCCTTTTTCAAGTTTAGAGAGTATTTCACTTCATAACGCGTTATTCATTAAAGTAGGTTTTCTATTTTTCCAAAGGCTTAACCGCTAAAGTTTTGATTTTATTGAAATTCCACGAAAAAGTTTTCGTTATTGAGAAATCCGTCTGCAAATGGGTTTCTTCCCGTTATAATTTCTGTTGATTAAGTATATTTAATATTTTTTAAACAAGCTACAAAAATCCAAGTGTAAAATGCAGCACATTCAAAAAAAAAAAATTAAAAATAAAAATGCAGCACATTCACTCTATTCCCAAAAACAAAAACACGGTCCATGATTTCATACCCACTTCAATTTATTTCCACGTACATAAATCCTAATTTTCATTACACTGACGCTTACTATATTATACAAATATATAGGATATATACACACATATTGAGACGCAGAGAGAGAGAGAGAGAGTCACAAGAATTACGACACTAAACTGAAACCAAATCAATTCTCCTTTTTCAGACCAAACACGAAGAGAGAGAGAGAGAGTAGTAATGGGAGAAGTACGGAGGATCGTGGTAGTTGTAGAGGATAAAGAGGCGGCGAGGATGGCGTTGCAGTGGGCACTTCACAATCTCCTCCGTCACGGTGACGTCATAGTCCTCCTTCACGTATTCTCTCCTCCGCCGCGCAAGAAGAAATCGACGGCGGCGCGTCTCCTCCGCCGCCACGGATATCATCTCGCCCTCTCTTTCCGTGAAATCTGCGACGCTTTTCTCAGCGTGAGTGTGAATGAATCAGTCTGATCTCAAAATTTTCTTGATTCTTGATGAAAGTTGATTTGATATCCAATATTTGATATCATCCTGATCGTTGTGACAGACGAATACGGAGATAATTGTAAGAGAAGGAGATGATGATGGAAGAACGATCGCTGAAGTCGTGAAAGAGATTGGAGCTTCGACGCTTCTTGTAGGTCTCCATCAAAACAGCTTTCTTTACAGGTACTATTGTGATCGATTCAATAATTACGGGGTCATAATTAAAGGTTGTGGATTCCACATGTGCGAATTTGTAATTACTCGCTATTTGGGCATTATGAATGTGTAGATGGGCAATGAGTGGGATTGATGTAGCGAGACATTTAAATTGCCAAGTGATGGCTATAAAGCAGCCTTCACCGGAACAGTTGCCGCCGGGAAAGGCTAAGGGACACAACAACACCTCACCGGCGATGGAGACATCAGATAGTTTAACTAATTTTGACTTTTCCCAAATCGAAATTGCTGGATTACAGTAAGATTCCTAACCTCTTTGATTTGGTGAAATAGTTTCAAGATAGTTTTTGATATCTAGAATATAAATAATACTGAATGAATCTGATATGATAAAATGGAACTATGTTTTGAAAACAGGGTTCCTGAGATTCCGACACCTAAAGTACCGTACAGATTATGTCCGAGCCCTCATGCGATACTCTGGAGAAAAAGACCACGAAGATCAAAACAGAGATACGGTGTCGTTTCATAGTCTCCAACATTTGTTCCAAGACAAAAAGGAATATATAAAACTTTTAGTTCTCTTTTTTTTGTGTCGAAGAAACAAAACTTTACTCAATACAACAAAATACTGATTCGAATCAGATTAGTCTTAAAAATGAGCAGTTTCCCAAACTATCGTCCCAAAAAAAGGATCGAATGATAAAAGGAAAAATGTTAAAGAATTTCCCAATGACCCAATACTCAAAACTTGACATTCATAATTAGAGGTACAAAAAATGTTTATTTATATTAAGGACTGGCTTTTCTTTCCCCCGTAAATCGTATTTGTATCTGTATGCTAATTTCTACACACATTACCTTTTATAGCAACAGGTTTTCTCTCCTGTATTCACGAACGATCACTGGTATGCTCGTCGGAGGAATCTATATATTACCAACACAGAGATATGTATCAGAACTTGAACTGACATTGCTTTTGCTAAGTATAAAGTTAGAGCAGAACAATGTATGTGAAACGTACCATTCCATAATCCGTGATGATCATAGATATATATTCTGAAGGAGTTGAATCATACCTGGCAAAAAAAGAAAGAAAGAGTAAGAGACATTAAGATAAAGATTTGTGATGGATTTTTCAATACCACTTGGAAAGGCTTTACATTAGATTCAGAAACTGAAGGTTTTTGTTGTTATCCATCGTCTTCAAATGCTTTGCCTTGGCTCTAGACGGTATGTTGGCTATGGCATCAGGATCGCCTGAAAGATATTTCCACATACAAAGCTCTGTTATAATCTGATTCAAGGGAAAGAATAATGGACAAGGAAGAAGAAGAGAGTGGATTGGAACATTACCAAGTTCGTTGGAGCAGATTGAATCAAGTAGGACTCTTTCATGGAACTTGTAAGCTTCACAACACACAATTACAGGAACACTAAATGCGTTTGCAACCATTGCAACGCAGGATGTTCCAACTCTTGAGTACAGCGTTCCATTCGAGAAGATCGATGATGCCCCGAGAAAAACCCGTGTAACATCGCGCATGATATAAGAAATCGCGTTTATATGTGTGTAGGTGCAGTCGAGGCCCCGGTTCACAAGTCTACGGAGTAGCTTTTGCCCTTCAAGATTAGGGCGCGAGTCTACAATCACTACACGGAATTTTTTCCCAATCTCATGGGCGTATAAGAGAATCATCTCAACCACACAAGAGAATCCATATGTGAGAAGAACCTCTCCGTCTCTGATTTTTGTAACGGCGTGTTGTACGATTACCTTGTCTGCATAAATGATCTTCTCGTCGATGAACCGGCCAATGTCAGAACAGAGGGAAGCCTTTGCCTCTGACTCTGACAGTTCTACAGGTAGTTTTCTGATTAGGTTCTTCAGGAACCTGATTGCGTTTCCCATGCTCATGGAGAGCGGTCGACATTCTATCAAGAATGACACATAACCATTTATCTTGGCTGTCAGATCCATGGTCAGGTCTTTCATAGGAGGCGTAGTGTAATCTTTTATAGCTTCTTGAAATGCTTGGAGCATGGCAACGCATCGCGCGTTGTCCTCCGATATATCTCCAGCCAAATGTTGTAAACCCACCTAAGATTAATAAATAACACCTATAAGTCATTAAGGAAATTAATTTCATATCCAGAAACATGTGGCTTAGTTCAAAAGCTTAACATTCAAATCAGCCACAGCTCGCACATATAAACAAGTAGGTGTACCTTATAGACTGCGTGGTGTATGGTATCGAGAGTGAATATATTGGAGCTTAAATTGGGAAGCTGATTGCCACGCTCGTATTGAGGAAGATGGAGAAATAACTCAACTTTGTTCTTGCTCTCTGTCTGCTCAACAACTGCACGCTTCTTGGCTTTCTCCACTCGGCTTTTATCATCATACTGCAGTTGTGTCTGAGGGACATCCATCCTCCTCTCTTTTTCTACTCCTACAACTTTTTTTTCAGAAACAGAGGATGTGACGGGAAGTCCCTCTTTCTTCACTTGAGGCTGTTTAACAGCCTTGCTAGGTTTGGCTCTACCAGAATCATCTGCACGCCGGCTTCCTTCGCCTAAAAATTGGCAAAGAGGAAAGCATTAAGATGGATTTACGCTTCATTTTAATGGAAAACGGTAAACAAAGCATAATTTGAAAACAAAACAAGAACCTTTTGCAGCAGCTTTTGCTGCCCGTTGTGCTTCTTGGATGGCACGCCTTTCTGCTTTAGTGGTTTTCTCTTTCAGCGATTTTGGTTCCTTTTCCTTCTGAGATTTTATGGTCACAGATTCCTTCTTTCCTGCACAATGGTTTCTCTGTAAGTAACGAAATGAAAAACTATCTTCTTCAAAGCATGACTCTCGATTTTAAAGTCAGAGTTGAACTATCAAAACTGGCAGAAAATGGTTTCCAGACTTAGCTTCTGAACCAGACTCAACACTAAACATTCTCCACAAGCATGTCTCTTTGTGCTAATACCAAACTCAATCCTAAAGGGGATATCTAATTATACGAAGAGCTATACGCAATTTATATAATAGACAGCTTAATTGATTAATTGATTGATTGATTTGATACGTAGACATACCAGAAACTTCAGGGTTCTTCTTCACCCCTTCAGAAGCCGACGCGGTCGCAATTTTGGATTCAGATTCCTGAGGAGCTCTAACTGCCATGGTCAAATCGAATCCTCCATTAGGAAAGCTCGACGATAGCTTCGCCGAATCGCTCCGCTGGAACCCAAACAAAGAAACCGAATCCTCAGAGAATTCTCCGTTGCTCGATGGCGGTGATGTCCCGAGGAGCGAATCCATAGGGTTGTAACTTCCGACGTGGAGACTCCGGTCATGGGCTAAGTACCGGCGGAAGGCGGCAGGTCCAGGGACGGGCACAGGAGCAGCGCGAGTGGCGAGATTATCAGAATGGTGACGCGACGGTGGTATCTGGACCGGAGAAATTAAATTTCCGGAGGGAGAATCAGAGAGAGGAGACGAAGACGTTATTGCATCTACAGGACCGGATTGGCTTCGATTCGGTCGCTGGGTCTCTGGTGACGGCGGCTCGATTGATGTAAAGAATCCTACTCGGCGGACTTTGGGGACTGCGAGAGCCCCGCGACGAGTATCCATGGAGGATCGTTGGAAGAAGACGACTCTAGGGTTTAATTAGGAGATTATCAAGAGCGCTCGGCTGAAAAGTCATAAATCCGTACAAAACAGGCTAAAATGCCATCACTCTAATAATTAATTTCTTTTCAATTTTTTTTAATAAGATTAACCCTGAAAATTCTTCATTTCTCCTTATATGTCAAATTATTAACAAAAAATCAGGATAATATCCACCCGAATTCAACCCACCCAATAATCCATTTTATTTTTCATTTATTAATTACTTAAATTTTTTTTCTCTTCTCCAGCACAATTTCTTTTAATTATTTTAATTAATTTTCTTTAATTCTCCTTATATTTCTTTTTTTCTTATTCTCCTTCGTCGTTAAAACATCGACATATTTTGAAAACCACCAAAATCTCAACTTCATCATCCAACCCTTGCTTACTCATCCTCTGCAATCAGTTTCTGTCTTTATCTCCTCTCCCCATCCATTGTTGATGATTCAAAACCCAGTTAGGTTTTCGTTTGGAGATTTGGAGATTTTACAATTTAGGGATTGAATTTGTCAAAATTGCTTGTTTGATATGTAAATCGGGTTGGTAACCCAGTTTATGTGATGATTAGATCTTTGCATAGATAATTTATCAAATATAGTTGTTGAATCGTAGTAATTCTTAGGTAGAAAATCCGAGTTCACCACCAAATCTGCAGAAGATGACAACTGGTACGAATGGTACAACTAAGAGATAAGAGGACAACTAGTACAACTGATACAACTATGAGATAGAGGACAATTGGTACAAATATGTATAACTAAGACAACTTAAATAATTGCTGATTGAAAATTCATTTATTATAATTGTAAATCGGGTTGATAATCCAGTTTTATATGACATAGGTATTTGCATGAATAATTTTTTAAATATAGTCGTTGAATCGTAGTGATTCTTAGGTATACATGAGTTCATCACCAAATCTGCAGAGGACAACTGGTACGAAAGGTACAACTAAGAGATAAGAGGACAACTAATACAACTGGTACAACTAGAACAACTACGAGATAGAAGACAACTAGTACAAATGGATATACCTAAGACAATTTGAATAATTGTTAATTGAGAATTTTTTTTATTATATTTTCAAGAGATAATGAGCATCAACCACACAAGCAATTCAATAGATTTTATATCATTTAATACCTCATATTTGGAGCTGATAACTTATTTGGTATTAGTAGATAAGATATTGTATGTAAGAATATTGCGATATATGAAACTAAACAACTTTGGAGTAGATAATTTATGTAAAGAATGAATTTCACATATAAATGAAACTAAGTGGAGTATTTCTGATAATATACAAAAATTGTTTGTCTTACTGCCGAATTAGACAAAAAAAAAGTGGTTTCTATTCTCCAAAAAAATCGCCGAAAGACGAAAAACAGATAATAAATTAGATAAATGGTCTCAGAGCAAAAGTAGCATGGAGACTTAATTTGTGTATATTTTTGGGTTTATTTTTATCCGAAAAGATTTTATTTTAGCTAAACAAATTACATTTAAGCAGAAAAATTTTCATTCTGGATAGCCACATTATTCATTTTAGCAGAGAAAATCTTTCCAAAATAGGAATAAACAAGGTACAGTTAGACACATATATACAATTATCTATAACTCCTTAATTTAAAAAAAAGGTACAGCTGAATGAAGGATTCAACTTATTTCAGCCTAAAAGTGTACATGTGTATTTTGGAGTTATTTGTATTTTGGATTTTTTTGATTTCTTGCATTATTATTTATTTTGGAGTTATTTGTATTTTGTATTTTTTGAATTTCTTTGATTTATTGTATTACTATTTATTTTGGAGTTATTTGTATTTTGAATTTCTTGGATTTCTTTGATTTCTTGCATTACTATTTTCAATTTCTCCAGGGCAACTAGATGAAACTCGGTGCAATTACTAATGAATTTCTCCAGGGCAATTAGGTGCAACTAGGTACAATTACGCTATGAATTTCTCCAGGACAACTAGGTGCAACTTGGGACAACTATATTTTAATTGTAGTGTTAAAAAAATTTCTAAAATTATTTATTTAAAAACCAATACAACCCATACCCTAAAAACTGTATCTTTTCACGTCTATACTAGAAGGAAGAAAATAAAACTTTGTTTTGTTCAAAGAACCAAATATTATTGGTTTCACTTGAAATAACCCTTATGTTATAAGGAAGTCTTTGACAGTGTTATCCATCTTATGCAATTATCTATGCTAAAATATAGGAAATAGAAAAATAATGACGCAAAACCCTTGGGGCTGCTATATAATGTTCGAAATTTTTGTGGACAACTAGATCATAATAATTTATGTCGAAGGACAACTGAAAAAACTACAAAATCGATCAAAGGACAACTATTACAAATTTTGGACAACTGGACAACTAGGTACAACTATGTTGTCAGTCGTAGACGCACGTGCGCCGACAAAAAGAGACACGTGTGCAGTCAAAGTACCACGTGCGCCGTCAATTTTATACATAGTTGTACTCAGTTGTCCAGTTGTCCAAAATTCTTCATAGTTGTTCTTTGACAATTTTAGTATTTTTTCCAGTTGTCCCTTGATATAAATTATTATTTTGTAGTTGTCCACATGATTTTTGACTATTGTAACATTTACAACATTTTCATAAACAATTTATGCAAAATCATAATTTTGGCTCTTTTCCATCATAAGATTATTAACATTATCAAAGTCTTCTTTGTATCATAATGGGTGTTGGATGTGAAACCAATAATATGTATTAGAAAAATGATAAATTTCATGTTATCCATCTTTTTAATTTTATTCTTTATAGTTTACAAATTTTTTACATTTTTTAAGTGAATGTTTGCTTTCTATATTTATAGTTTATCACTATTATTTTCTAATGAAAGAATTGCATATAGTTGTACATACGTGTCCAATTGTACCTTGTTTATTTCCATCCAGAAAGTATTCTCCGCCAAAAATGAAATCCTCTAGATTAGATTGACTTACCTAAGTGTCACTATCCATCAAAATAACATTTGCATTTATGTGTGCCGTCAATTTTTGTACATAGTTGTACATAATTGTACTAGTTGTCCTCCTCTGCAGATTTGGAGATGAACTCAGATATAATTATACTTTACCTAAGAATCACTACGATTCAACGACTATATTTAAGAAATTATTCATGCAAAATCGTCATATAAAACTAGGTTACCAACCCTATTTTCAATTATAATAAAAGAATTTTCAATCAACAATTATTTAAGTTGTCTTAGTTATACCTATTTGTACCAGTTGTCCTCTATCTCATAGTTGTACTAATTGTACTAGTTGTTCTCTTATCTCTTAGTTGTACCATTCGTACCAGTTGTCCTCTTCTGCAGATTTGGTGATGAACTCGGATTTTATACCTAAGAATCACTACGATTCAACAACTATATTTGATAAATTATCTATGCAAAGACCTAATCATCACATAAACTAGGTTACCAACCCGATTTACATACCAAACAAGCAATTTTGAGAAATTCAATCCCTAAATTGTAAAATCCCCAAATCTCCAAACAAAAACCTAAATGGGTTTGAAACTTCAACAATGGTGGTGGAGAGAGGAGATAAAAACAATAAAGTGATTACAGAGAATGAAGAAGAGGAGGAGAGGCGAGGGTTTGACGGCGAGAATGAGATTTGGTGGTTTTTAGAATCCATCAACAAAACGTTGACGAAGAAGAAGAAACAGAAAAAAAAATTAAAAAAAAAATATTTTTTAAATTAATTTCGTTTTGATTATTAATTTCAATTTAAATAAAAAATCAATCACTTTTTTATTAAATTCAGGAATACCACAAAAAATTTCATTAAGGATAAAATAGGAATTACATGTGTATTATGGCACACAGACTTATTTATGGCACAACAGATTAACTTTTTTCAATTTATGGCATTGTAGCCATTAAACCGATTATCAAGAGCGACAGGCTACAAAGCCATAATCTCGAAACAAAAGGGCTCAAATGCCATAATTCTAATAATGAATTTCATTACGATTTTCTTTAACTAAGGATAATCGTGGAAAATCCTTCTTTCTCCTTATTTATCACTTTATTTACAATAAAACCAGGGTCATATCCATCCAATTTCAGACCCACCCACTAACTTATTTTATTATTAATTATCTAAATTTTCTTTTTCTTTTCCAACAATTTCTTTTAATTTTTTAATTCTTTTTCTTTAATTATCATTTTTTTCTTTCATCTTCATCATCCACATTCCGACGATAGATTCCAAAAATCACCAAAATCATATCTTCATCATCCAAACTTTGTCTCTTCATCATTTGCAATCAGTTTCTTATCTTTATCTCCTCTCTCCACCACCATTGTTGAAGCTTCAAAACCCAATTAGGTTTTTATTTAGAGATTTAGGGATTTCACAATTTAGAGATTGGATTTGTCAAAATTGCTTGTTCAATATGTAAATCGGGTTGGTAACCCAGTTTTATGTGATGATTCGGTCTTTGCATAGATAATTTATCGAATATAGTTGTGAATTAAAATCTGAGTTCATCACCAAATCTGCAGAAATGGACAACTGGTACGAATGGTACAACTAAGAGATAAGAAGACAACTAGTACAATTGGTACAACTATGAGATAGAGGACAACTGGTACAAATAGGTATAACTAAGACAACTTAAAATAATTGTTGATTTCTTTTATTATAGTTGAAAATCGGGTTGGTAACCCAATTTTATGTGACGATTAGGTATTTGCATGGATAATTTCTTAAATATAATCGTTGAATCGTAGTGATTCTTAGGTAAATTATAATTATACCTGAGTTCATCACCAAATCTGCAGAGGAGGACAACTGGTACAAATGGTACAACTAAGAGATAAAAGGACAACTAATACAATACTGTATATTGGTACAACTATGAGATATATGACAACTAGTACAAATAGGTATAACTAAAACAACTTAAATAATTGTTGATTGAAAATTCTTTTATTATAATTGCAAATCGGGTTGGTAACCCAATTTTATATGACG